GGGTTGGGCAGGGAGAGAAGTGCAGCAGTGAATGAATGGAAATCCAAAATCTCTGTAAATGTTCATTAAAATTATTAAAAAGAAAAAATTACCTGTTGCCACTGCGTTGATTCCAACTAATAGCAATGTGGTAAAGTAGAATTTTCAGTGGTTAATTTTTCAGAAGTCGATCTCTAGGCCTTTCTTCTAAGACACCTTGAGGGTGACCCCAGCCCCGAATCTCTTGGTTAGCAGCTGAGTGCTTTAGCTGCACCGCCAGGGACTCACGTGGAGTGCGAGCACTGTGGTCATTTCAGACCAGGATCTGAAATGTGGCAAGATGCTCTCAGAGGGAGTTGGAGATGGTCTTCCCTCTCGTCCTTGGCATTCAATAAGGAAAATAAATTCAAGTTTGCAGAGTGTTTCTGGTTCCTTGAGTGTCAGATGTCTTTAGGGCCCTGAAAGTAGGAAGCTTGTAAATTTTATTTTAGTCTCTTCCCTTTCCTCCTCATTCTTTTCACCTTTTCATTGTTTTTTTCACCTTTAGTCCAGAGACTACACATTCTAGTCATATGAAGAACTAAAGAACTGCTTCCACATCCTGCAATGCTTTTGACATGGAAACAGTTACATTAACAAATACAGAGGCTTTTTAAAAAACAAAACAATATAAAATTATACAATAATAAACTTATAAAGAACACCCATTATTATTGACATTTTGTTGAAACTATATACAGAAGTAGAGGGGATAGACAGCCAATGAATTCCTAGGGACTCAGCCAGACTCAACAATTATCAATTGGTGGTCCATCTTCCTTCATTTCGACTCCTACCCACTGCTAAATGCTGATTGTTCTGCAGCAAAACATGATACTATGTTATTTCTTCTGAAATATTTCAATCTATACCTCTAAAATGCAAGGAAGTACTGCATGGTTCAAAATTGGGAAAGAATGCGGAACAGATTATCTGGGAAGCTGGACTCTATGAGGAGAAGTGTGGCATCAGGATTGGAGGTACACTCATCAACAATCTGCATTATGCAGATGACTCAGTCCTACTTGTTGAAACTGAGGACATGAAGCACTTGCTACAGAAGGTCAAGGGCTGCAGCCTTCACTATGGATTGAAGCTCAACATCAAGAAAACAGATTCTTACCACTGGGCCAATTGGCAGTATCATGATAGATGGTGAAGAGATTGAGACTGTTGACAGCTTCAGTTTGGTTGGTTCTGTATCAACACTCTTGGTACCAGAAGCCAGGAAATTAAAAGATGAATTGCATTGGGAAGGTCTGCTGTCAGAGACCTTTCCAAAGTACTGAAGAGCTATGATGCTCTTGAGACTAAGGTGTGCCTGATCCAGGCCATGACCTTTGCAATTACTTGCTATGCATCAAAGATTTGGACAATGACTAAGGATGACAGAAGAGTTGATGCCTTTGAGCTGTGGTGCTGGAGAAGAGTCTTGAATATACCATGGACTGCTAGGAGAACAAACAAGTTCATCTTGGAGAGGATGAAGACAGGCTCTTCCTTGGAGGCAAGGATTCTGGGGCTTCATCTGATAAACTTTGGGCATGTTGCAAGGTTGGATCAGTCCTGGGAGAGGGACGTCATGCTTGGGAGGATGGAGGAACAGCACAGGAGAGGAAGACCCTCATCCATTGATGAGATGGATTGATTTAGTGAGTGGGGTAATGTGGGTAGGTGTGTCGGAGACAATAAGATTAGCACAGGATAGAGCAGGGGTTAGGGCTGTTGTACATAGGGTTGCTATGAGTTGCAGGTGACTCAATGGCACATAACAACAACAACAAACAATCTCTAAAATATCAGTCTCTCTTTAAAAACATAATTGAAATTCATATGAAAAAACACAGTTCCTTGACACTATCAAATATTCAATCTGTGTTCAAATATCCTTAACTAGCTTGAAAAATATTTATATATTTCTTTATTATTAAGTTTATGCCTCTCAATCTACAGGCTCCTGCTCCCTCTCTTTATTACTTGAACAAATTGATTTTTTTTTAAGAAAATAGACCATTTATCCTATAGAAACACACGATGGATTCTGATTACACTTTGAAAGGACTTCATCTGATTTTGATTATTTCAGAAGATAAAGTTTAAATGGATGAAAAGTAGCATCTCATCCAACCACCTGTGTTTCCCCCCTTTTCCTTTCACAACAGAGAAAGAATACATTTTTAATTTAAAGAACATTTCCATTTATATTAATTTATTTCTTTTTAACTGAGAAAGCCTAGTCAATCTTTCTTCAGGGAAATAAATCAGAGTATAAATCGATTGTGGTAACTTTGGAAGGGCAAAATATTTACCAGTTTCCATAGCTCTTGCTTAGTTCACACACTGCACTCGAAAGCTGTGGCCAGGCAAGAATCCTGAGCCTACACACTGGGACCCTCAGAATTGGTAACAGCGATGAGGCCCGAGGGGGTGTTTCCTGCCAGACAGGCACTAGTTGGATTTAGCAAAACCGTGGTCAGCATCCATATGCTTATTTCTTGGTGCCCCACCCCTGTTCCTCTCCGTCCGTCTCTGATACTCCCTAGTTTAGCTCTCAAAATACTCTATTGCCATCAAATAGACTCTGATCCTGCAGGACAGACTAGAACCGCCTCAAGGGACTTCCAAGGCTAAAATATTTTTTTAATTATTTTTTTACTTTAATTATCATTTTAACAAAAGTTTACAGTAAAGTTAGATTTTCATTCATTCATTGTTGTGCATTTTACCCCCACCCCCTCCTGTCCCCCTCCACAAGTTGACTTTTTTCTTTTCATTAGTTTATTTACAAAATTCTAATACAAATTTGAACAAATTCTTTCCATTTTCCTCACCCCACCTCCCATCAGATTGTACAATCCAATGATTAATACCCCCCACCCCCTTCCTCCGGCACATCCACATCCCTCTGCTTCCAGCCTCTCCCACCCCTCCTGGATCCTTATAGTCATTCTGCAATAATGGTCTTATACAGTATTTATCAAGGCTAAAATCTTTATGGAAGCAGAACATCACAGCTTTTTCCTGCAGAATGGCTAGTGATTTCAAACCACTGACCATTCTGTCAGCAGCCAAACGCTTAATCTTGCACTTTCAGGCCTCCTTTAGCATAGCTCAGAACTCAAACATGTTGAATTCAGTCTGAACCAACTCCTATAGTCTGAATCAACTCATACCTGACCTTCAAGGGGGTTTCAGGGGCTGTAAATTCCTTGGGAGGTGATCACCCATCTTTTTCCCTAAAAGCAGCTGATGGGTGCAAACTGTCTACCTTTTAAGTGACAGCAAAACCTCCCACCCAATGGGTCGCCAGAGCCTCGTTAACACAGCTCAGTGCTTTTTTTAAAAATCGTTGTTGTTGTTATGTGCCTTCGAGTTGCTTGTGGCTCATACCAACTCTATGTACAACAGCCCTGAAACCTGCTCTTTCCTGTGCCAATTTTACTGTCTCTGGCACACCTATTCCCATTACCCCAGTCACTGCATCAATCCATCTCATAGATTATCTTCCTCTCTTTCTCCATCCCTCCACCCTACCAAACATGATGTCCCTCTCAAAGGACCAGTCCCTCCTTGAAACATGCCCAAAGTATGTCAGATGAAGTCCTAGAATCCTTGTCTCCAAGGAGCAGCCTGGCTTCCCCGTCTCTAGGACAAACTTGGTTGTCCTCTTAGAAGTCCGTGGTATATTCAATACTCTTCTCCAGCACCACAGCTCCAAGGCATCAATTCTCTTTCTAGCTCAGTGTTCCTTAGTTACGTCTTTTATTGAATTTTAGAACTGTAGTGTTGGTTGATTGGCTTATGTTCCTTTTTGGAACTTGGACTGAAAATTTGTTTTCCAACCATATTCTCAGTAAGCTGTTGTTATGTCACCTTTATTAAATCTCTAACTCTGGCTGTCTGGCATAGGAGTTCTCTCTTGGCACTATTTATGCAGCTGTCCTGGCCCCTGTGGGTGTGGTAGGACGTCCCTGGGACTATCTGCCTGTGTCTAATACTTGAGTGCCATCTGCTGGCTTGTTGCTGCATAACCTGGCTAGGACCAGATGAGCAGCTACATACGGTGCATGTAGAAGCGTTAACGTTTTCAGGAGCCTTTGATTGTGTGTCTCCTTCCTAAAGCAGGCTGCCTTTAAGTTTTCTAGCAAATAAGGAAACCCTTGGAAAATGAACTTTAATATCTGGTTTTGGTCATCTTTTGTGGGTGTTTCCCACTTTTTAACATAGTTGAGAAATTTACTTTGAGTTTGTTGTTGTGCTGTGTAGTCAACTATGACTCATGGCACCCCTGTGAAAAACAGACATAAGCCGAGAGACGTAATGCTTGGGAGGGTGCTTGGGAGGGTGGAGGGACAGTGCAGGAGAGGAAGACCCTGGATGAGATGGATTGACTCAGTGACTTAGGTATTTCGGGTGGGTGTGTCAGAGACAATGAAGTTGGGTCAAGATAGAACAGGGTTCAGGGCTGTTGTACATAAGGGTCACATGCGCAGCACATAACAACAACAACAACAACAACATCCTGTTCCATTCTTATGATCTCTGATCTGTTCAAGCCCATTGTCACAGTTACTGTATCAATCCATCCTGTAGAGTCGTCTTCTGTTTCTCTGACCCATCACCTTTTTCGGCTTTCCCAGTTTTCCAAGGATTGGTCCCTACTGACAATGCGCTTAAAGTATGTGAGATAAAGTTTCACCATCTTGACCTTTAAAGAGGAACCTGCCTGCATTTCCTCCAAGATAGACTTGTTTGTTCTTGTGGCAGTCCATGGGATAGTCGGTACTCTTCTCCAACACCACAGTTCAAAGGCCTCGATTCTTCTTCAGCCATCCTTATTCAGTGTCCAACTTTCAAATGCATAGAAAGCAGTTGAAAAGACTGTGGCTTGTTCTTAAGTTTAGACACCTGAAATACACTAAAAAGAGGAAGGGGGAAAAGCCTCCAAACAAACACTCTCTGCCCCAGGCCACTACACCAAAAGTGAAAAGTCATCACCCCTGTGTTTAAAGATCTAATGTAGGCCAGATTTTTCCATTTTCTTGGCATCACCATCAGTGCATAGAAAACGTGGAGCATGTTAGATGTTTTCTCCCAGTGCTCCTGCCACCCCACACAGCCAGCCCTCTGAGGCTGGAGCCTGTACCTACCTGTTCCTCCCAAGTCTTCCCAACCCTTGGAGAGCCACTGAGGTGGCACCTACTACAGTCTCCTATTTTGTTTTCCCATTTGTGCTCCTTCCTTTTTCCATACCCTTCACTGCCACCAGGCTTATTCTGAATATTTTGTATTTGAGGAAGCGCTTGTTTACCTATCTTCAGGCCTGAACTTTGTCTGCCAAGTTAAGCCAAATTCCTAAAATGTTCATGTCCACATTCTCCCTGCCTCGCTTCTCACCATGCCTTGTTTATCCTATCCCATCCTATGTGCCCACTTGAGCATGCCTTTCTCTGGGCCTTTGCTGGTTCTATACCTCAGCTGGAATTCCTTTTTCTTTCGTCTTTGCCCAAGTCCTTTGTAAGCGCAACAAGTATCCCCACCTCCGTGAGCTCTTCTCTTGTACCTATAGCTCTTATTTCTCTCTTTTAAAACCAGCTTTATTGAAGTATACTCTATATACCTGCAATATATACTCCCAAACTGTTATCACAATTAAGGTAATGACTGTTTCCATCACTCCCAAGGTGCCCTTTTAGATAGACCCTCAACCTCCATCTCTTGTCCCCTGGCACCTGCTGGTCTTGCAGTAGCTGAGTTCTGTAATGTTATATATGTGCACTGTGCAGTGTGGACCCCTTTTGGCCTAGCTTCCTTCACATAGCCTAATGCTTTGAGATTCATCTATGCTGCTGCATGGTACCATAGAACTATGGTATCACGATTTGATTTATTTCATTCTGCTTTTATGTGGATATTCAATTTTTCATGTATGGGCCTTATTTCCTCCCTAGATTGCCAACTATTTGGGAACAAGGGCATTGTGTTCACTATCTGTCCTGTGTGGCTCTGGCAGTGTGACCTGCTCACAGTACACATTGTGACTGTTAAAAAAGAATAGTGCAAGATAGTCAAAACATAGTACCTGAATCTAAAATACCATGTTCAAATACCAGCCGTGCAACCTGGTCAAGTTATTGTGCTTCAATTTCATCAATAATAAGTGTAGGTAGTATGAATGCTTTTGTGATCAGGTTAATTTAGGAATAATAAAGTAAGTAAATGAAAAACCTTTAGAAAAATGTCTCATACATTGTGAATACTAGTTATTACTTAGAGATGGCAGAATATAATAATAGTTTAAAATATAAATTCTGTTGCCAAACCATCTGGATTCGTATCTTAACTAGATGATTATGACTGGGGATCCTTAGGTAAGTGTCTCAGCTTTCTCATCTGAAAAAGTGGGAAATAACAAAGAGTCTATTATCTTGAGGCTCTGGTCTTGCCTAGGTGAAAGCAAGCCAGAGGTGATGGAGAACTGAATTTCACAGAGACTGGTGCCTTTAAATTGTGGTGATGGTGGAGTATTGAATACCCTATGGACTGTTGAAAGAACAAACAAATCTGTCTTGGAAGAAATGCAACCAGAGTGTTCTTTTAGAGGCAAGGACAGTGAGACCTTGTCTCACCCACTTTGAGCATGTTGTCAGAAGGGGTCAGTCCTTGGAAAAAGACATCATGCTAGGAAAGACTAGTGAAAGACAGGAAGACTTTCATGAGATGGATTGGCACAGTGACTGGAAAAATGGGTTTCTGGATGGCGGAGAACAAAGTTCCAATCTGTTGTTCATAGGATCACTTTGAGTAGTAGTCGACTAGATGGCACTTAACAATAACAACTAGGCCTTTGAGCCATTGAATGTCCTGGGATCACTTTGATGATCCTTGTTTTCCTCTCAGTTTTTGGAAACCTGGGTTCCTAAGCACCAACCTTGCCAGATCTGCATGTGCCTCAGTGGACGGAAGGTCAACTGCACCTCACAGCCCTGCCCCACAGCCAGAGGTGAGTGAGTTCATCCTTTTTTGGGGATCTTGGAGGAAGAAGAGCCTCCAAGCCCATTGAGCAATGCTGTTGTCAGTCCTAGTAGAACAGATACAAGCCCTGACCCCCAGATTGATTTTCTTTACTCACTCTACACCTCCCCTGCCAGCCCTACCCTTTACCTCTCCGATTTTAAGGACCCTCCTTAGGGATCTGGAATGAACCTTCTCAGAGTTTAACTCAGCTTCTTTGGCCATCAGATTCATAACTCCATGAAGAATAAACAGACACATAGAAGGAGGCCTCCTTTTGTCAAAAGTCCCACAACTAATTCCTCATGAGCCTCCCATACAGTCTCGATGCTGGTTTTCAGAGAAAGAGAATCTGCAACATTTCTAATTGTTCTCCAGCTTACACCACTGTCTAGTCCTGACTTCACCGTCATTCTCTGCTTCCAGCTCCCACATGTGGTCCTTGTGAAGTGGCTCGCCTCCACCAGAATCCAGACCAGTGCTGCCCAGAGTATGAGTGCGGTATGTGTTCTACTTTGGACATTTCTCCAGGGTCCCCGGCCTAACTCCACGTGAACTATGTTGAGTGCTGAGAGTTGAAAGATGCTGGGAGGCTGAAAGTGAGTAGGGGTTGAGTGGATTTCCCCAAAAGTGGAAAGAATCATCTCTGGAAAATAGGATTTGTTTGCTAGGCTTTTGTGCCCCAGAGAAACATTCTGCAGAGAGTTATTTAATGTAAAGATTTGAAAAATATTTAGAAAAGGATGACATGCTCACTGTGGCAAAGGACCACAGAGCTTTACTTAAATAGTCATGCTCTCTACTACAAAAAAAAATAATATTTTCTTCTCAATAAAATTCAGATAATACTAGGAGAGGACCACACAGGAAAGGCATTTTGATCCAGCAAGTTATTTATAAAAAGGTTTCACACTGCATATTGAATAGTGAGCTGGATAATGATTTAATTAAGTGAATTCAGAGCTGATGAAATGGAAATTCATATGATATGAGCTCTCGAGTGCCGATGCCTGTCCTGTCCAATGCCTATTATTAATTATATGGATGAAGACTTAACGTGCAGCACTGGCACAAATCTTTCAGGGAGATCAGATAAATGGATGGACAGACCAAGAATTTAAAAACAATGAAAGAATCTAAGAAATCTTTTATACTGACAAAATTTATTGTAGGTAAATAGAAGTTCTGTAAGGGAGAAAGACATGATTTGAGAACAATGTGTGTAAAACAGGTCTTAAAATGTTAATGATAGTTTGAACCTTTAGACTATAGTTAGCAGCTGAATGTTTTACAACCAAAATTCCTATCCTTCACTCTTAAGTCATCTGCTGTGTTAACATTTACCATATTTACTTTTGTCCTTTTTTTCTGAATTGTTTAAGAGTAAATTGTAGACATTATGTTCCTTTATTGCTGGTATTTCAAATTCACTCTCTTATATAATTATAAAAATAAAAATATGTCAGTGGTGTAAACTGTTATCCAGTTTATATATCCTATTGATCTCAGATCACCAGATACTGGAGCTCGGTGGCCTAGTGAAGCTATGCTTCAATCTTGAAGGCACAGGGTTTAAGGCTGCTTCACAGGAGGATGGGCAGTCTCTTTCTTTGCAATTAACTGCCTCCAAAAAGCTACCTTAGAGTCAGCTATAAAGTTCCAACTTTATAGTACACAATAACAACAGTTCAAATTTAACCAGTTGACCCATTAATGTTATTTAAAAAAATGTTAATGATAGAAAAGACTGGAGGGAACATTTAGTTCAAGTCTGTATATATATATATATATATATATATATACACACACACACACACACACACACACACACACACACACACACACACACAATAAGCTCTGACAACGTTG